AGGGGTTCCACCTGGGGATCTCTGTATAGCCACATCCATGTACTCATTATGATTGTGAGAGTGCAGGGGCCCATGGGCTTCCAGCCGTGAGGTAGCATCAAGAGTTGTCATCCCAGAAGTTCTGCGCCATTCCTCCAGCATGCCACCTGCCCAGGGGCAGCAATACAATGCTTACCCCAAGGGCCCTGCCCTCCTGCCCACCCCACCAGCATCTTAATACAGGCAGGAGCCTGGGAAATTGGTTAGCTGGGAGCCATGCTGAGGACCCTGTTGTGAGGTGGTGTGACCACTGCAGGGATGTAGAAATGGGGCTCTAACAGGAGGGACCATAGAGGTCAGGCAGCACTAGAGCCAGAACCCAGGAATGGTCCAGGCCCTCCCCAACAGTCTCCACCTCTATGGAAATGATGGAAGGAATGAAGGAGGGAGCCAGACAGTTGTGCCAACAGAACTCCTCCACTGGAGTGTCTAATTGCTTATGATCATGCATGCTCTCTCTCACGCTAAACATTTATTAATGTGTTAGGATTTCCATTAGCGCATTCCTTGAACTGAAATCATTTGCATATGGCTGGGAAAAAGCGGGGTGAGGGAGAAAACAACTCCAGCTACCCAACAGGCGTCAATCACAGTGACAGATCAGATGGTCTGTGGCTGGAGGCAGGGGGTCTGTCTGAGATGCCAACATGCATCCTCTCAGCTGATAACACAGAAACTCCAGAGTGTCCTGTTGGGAGCCAAGCCCTGGAGGCTGAGCTCCTGTTCTTGTTGATGCACTATCATATCTGATCTCAGCAGCCTCCAGGGAGGTCCATACACAGATGGCAAAGCTGAGATTCAGCAACTCTGTGGTTGAACAAATGTCCATGCTGAACCCAGGTAGGTCTCACCAGGTGCAGCACTGAGCATCATCTTCTGATCTCTTCATAATTGGACTGGGCTAGCCCTCTGAGACAGTTTCCACTCAGTGCACAAGGGCCTTCTTCAGCTTGAGCACAGAGTTTTCAGCCATAACTAGCATCTATGAACAGGGCTCACGGTGACCCTGACTGAGAAAAATCAGGACAGAGACCATTTTGTTAGGAGAAGGCTGAGCCCGGGAGTGACTGGGCTGCACAGCTTGGTGGAGCTGCCTCCTGATGATGTATATCATGTCCACATTCTCCAAAGTGAGGAAGAGGAAGATAAGACTTGACTAGCCAGGCCTCAGCCAGTGATATGTCCGTGGATTTCCATTTGCTATTGATCCTACAGGGCTGCTAAAGCCAGAAGCCCCTTATGGCTCTGGCTGGGGGCGAAGGGTTTGCTATCCTGCTGTGCCTTTCCCTTATCCTGGGGTCTACACAGCATGGTGAAAGTGAACCAGGCAGGTTAAGACCCTCAGTAAGGAGGCTACCAATAGGCAGGTCCTACACTGGGCAAAGTACCATCTCTGGAACACTACCTTCATCATCCTCAGGCTCCATACACCTTTCTAGAACACACGAGCAACGGTTCCCCTACCCTGCTTGTGACCCACAGTGGCTCCCCAATGCTAGTCAGCCAACCCTCCCCACCTCTGGGCTCATAGGTCTGCCACCAAGGCTCTAAGGTCACCCCTCTGGGGTCCACAGGTGCCCTCCTGCCCACCTCCTCTGTAGGTCTGTTTTCCATAGCATCCTCCTGCAGGACTACTAAAGCCAACAGGGCCCATGGCTCTGGTTCAGGGCATTAGATGTTCCTCTACCATGTCTCTTCCCTGGCTCTAACACAGCAAAGACAGCAGTGAGCTAGGCAGATGGGACTAGGAGAAAATTTGCCATAGCTCCTTGTTAGTAGTTTCACCTGTCTGGCCTCCTGAGCCTGCATAACACTCAGCCCAGGGCCCGCCATGGAGCATGCATAACAAATGCTCAAAGTGGAAGGAGGAAAGGAGAGCAGCATCTCTCCTTCCAGGCCTTGGTGACACAGCCAGGTGGACTAAGCCACAGGTGAGGTGGTGAAGCAGGACAAGGAAGAGGGGGCTGCTGACCCAGAAGCACTTTTTCCTGCTGAGGCTTAAGAGCCATTAATGTTAGTGGCTAAGTTCCTAATCCTCCAGTCAGTGCCTGCTACTACCCATGCGTCCAAGGGGCTAAGATGGCTGCAGCTCTGGTCAAAGACCCAGGGCCGAGCATCTGAGCTCCTCAGACTTTTTCACAGCTTGACCACGGTGACCCTCACTCAGGTGTGCTGTTAGTCTTCTCAAGACCCCTGACTCCAGAGGGAAAGAACTCAGGCTGCAGGTTAGCCAGACTGTGCTCAAACTTCACCTCTGCAGAGGGTCTCTAACCGCCAGAAGAGGGGGACTCTCCCTACAGGGACCCCCCTGCTGGGGATCAAGAGCTCACAGACAGCAGATGACAAGCCTAACTGACCCACATTCCAGAGATACGAATGAGTGTGGGTCAGCCAGAGGGGGTAAGACGGCAGTGTTGGTATTGTGTAGATAGTGCTCATGAGACCTGGTGTGGAGGTTAGTGGGGGTGGGCTCTCCTCAGGGGCCTGAGGGAGAGGTAGAAGAACTGACTTGAAAAGCTCCAGCAGCCCACAAAGGCAGGCACTCAGGAAGGGGTGCCATTGCACTGGTCAGGGGCCTAGGTGGGATGTCAAGTGAGTGTAAAAGAGCCACCGCGCTTCAGCTATGATGTCTGCAGACTTACTGTGGAACAGCAGGGCAGGCTCAGCCTGGAGATGGCTATGTTGCTCCCAGTGTCCCAGTCTCAGAAAACAGGCTCAGAGGGGAAAGTGGGACTCCCCAAGGTATCCTGGTGACTTAGAGACACAGGCTAGAATTCCCGCTTCCTCTCAAGGTAACCACTGCTCTATCTTGTGTCCATGTAACTCAATCTAGGTGTTATCCTCCTACCCAGCAACTCTCCCTTTGATGAGAAGACGGGCAGGCCTCCCCTAAGAACTGATGGGAGAGAGATGAACAGGGAGAGATACCTACAAAGCTATGTAGACCGTGTGATTATAGCCCTGTCTGTGGCGGACTCGTCACATGACCTGGGTGATCCGTGCACCCCACCCACTATGCACCTCAGACCTCAGTCTGCAGGTGAGGATGCAGGAGGGTAGTTGAACCAATAGCTTCTAATGACCCTTTCAGGTCACTCTGAATTTATCTCACTGAACCAACAGCACCTGTTCAAAACAATTTCTGTCACGTTTTACAGACTCCAGAGTCACTTCACCTCAGTGACCATTTTCAGTCTCCCACTGTACAGCCCTGTGAAATAGATGAGTATCAGTGATTCCAGAGGTAATTGTGCCTGTCTACTCACTCGGTGGGTCAGCAGGTGTTTAGCAAGCTCCTACTATGTGCCTAGCCCACCCCTGAAGGCTCACATTAGGGCCTAGGAGATGGGTAAAAGAAACAGAACACAACACAGCTTCCCAGCTGTCCCAAGTACAAACAAGCAAGCAAGGCCCTGGGGTGCTGTTGCACTACAGGGATGAGGGTGACCACCACGGTGGTATCAGAATCAAAGCATCCACCTTGACCTCATTAGCGTTGGGCCTAATCATCAAGCCAAGCTTCTTAATCTGCTAGAAGCCACCTCAACCCCTCCATACACACCAATCCTGTGTTCCTTTCATTAACCCTCTGTGTGCTGGGGATAAGCAAGGGGTCTGGAACCTCCAGGAGAGCCTTCAGGGAAGGGATTTCCTTTTCTGAGCAGACAGATCTAAGAATCCTTAAGAGACTGATCAAGACAGAGATTAAGGGCCCCAAGTCTCAGAAATGTACATTTCTGTGGTGAGCCTTCTACTCAGGCCTCAGGGCCTGTGCTGTGGTTCTCCTTTGCCTGAATACCTGTGTGATGAGAAACATGGCTGTTTCTCCAATCATTCAGCTCTCAGATCAACCTTCACCTAGAGGCATGTTCCAGGCTGCTTAGGGTATTCTTCTCTCAGCTCTTGTTTGTAACAGTTGCCTATCCCCCTAGGTCCCCCAGAGAAGTGCTGGCTTTTTGCAGCCAGGGACTTGATGTTTCTTGTGGATCCCCCCAAAATCAAGCCCCTTGTCTAGGACTCATGGGCACCCCATGCATGTGCCTGCTAGATAATGGTCCTGGAGCATCCTATATGCAGGGGCTCTAGGTCACCCCACTTCATCCTGGGAATATCTTTGAACTCCTTTCTCAGATGATCTGGGAAACCTGCTAGCACCAACCCTACACCTGCTCCCTGGTCACCTGTCCCTGAAGTCCCTGCTTTCCTTCCCCTGTGCGTCTTGCCATCTTGGGGCTAGCATCACAACCACATGGCAGAAACACTGGCCTCACATCCTCTGACTCCAAGCCTGGTCCAGGACCAGCATCTCTCAGCCTGTACAGGGTTCTGAGTCCTCAGTATAGAAGCACTCTGGGCAGGGCTGTGTCCTTCTCTCTCTTTGTCTCCCTGGTGGCCAGCTCATAAATGTTTAATGAAAGAGTGAGTGAGCAAATTCCAATTGAACACAACAAATAGTTATTGAACTGTTGGGCCTTGTGGGGGGGGGGGTAATGGGCAGAGCTGGCAGGGTGCATCCCCTGCCCTGCACAAAGCTTGGTTCTGTCCAAATGAGCTGGTGTCAGGGCCTGGGGACCAGATAACCAAGAGGAAACCTGGGAAGGGACCAAATAGGTGAGGAAGGGTGTGAGGAGTGAGAATAGTTTCTGTGACCTTATGAGAACTCAAGGAAAAGAGTTGGAACACAGTAGTTAGGCCCACCAGACTGACTATTTGGGCAGAATTTCTGGGGAAGTCTGGGGTAGACAAGATGAGACAACCTTCGTTTTCCCAGGGACCCCCTGCGCGCGACCCCAGCCTCTATCCAGTGTCACCTTCGTCCTGCTTCAAGCCAATTAGGCCTGGGTGGCAGTAGCGGGATTAGTTTGATTATTATGATATCTCCCGGATGCTGAATCAGCCCACGGCTTAGGGATGGAAGGTCATTTTATAAGGGTCTGGGTGGGCGGTCAGGGCCCGGAGTCGTGCAGTGGGAGCCGTGGGTGGCTGAGCTCGCACCCTGGAGCCTCAGTCTCCGTTGTCGGAACAGCCCGTGGGGCAGCCACCAGGGCGGCAGCCATGAACGGCACGGAGGGCCCCAACTTCTACGTGCCCTTCTCCAACGGCACAGGCGTGGTGCGCAGCCCCTTCGAGCAGCCGCAGTACTACCTGGCCGAGCCATGGCAGTTCTCCATGCTGGCGGCGTACATGTTCCTGCTCATCGTGCTGGGCTTCCCCATCAACTTTCTCACGCTCTACGTCACCGTGCAGCACAAGAAGCTGCGCACGCCTCTCAACTACATCCTGCTCAACTTGGCCCTGGCTGACCTCTTCATGGTCATCGGGGGTTTCACCACCACGTTCTACACCTCGCTGCACGGCTATTTCGTCTTTGGACCCACAGGATGCAACCTCGAGGGTTTCTTTGCCACACTGGGCGGTATGAGCCAAGGGGCTGGGGTGTCGGCTTCGAGCATGGAAGGGCCTAGGGCGGGTCCACAGCTTGGGTACGGTGGCTTAAAGGATCCTTCTCCACGCCTCTTAAATCAGCATTATCCGAAGGCCTTGTTATTCAATCTACAAACACTGTGTTGCTGAGCTAGGCTGCTGCTGTGCGTTGAGCGTGAGCATGGATGCTCACGTATCTCACTTGGGGTGAAGCAAAGAACAAGATTTAGAGTGGTCAGAGGCTTGCTGGGGACTCTTAGGAGATAGGAGCAGAGTTGACTTCTGTGTTCCCTGAGGCAGGTGAGCTGGGCAGACCCAGGTTAAGCACCAGGACTGAGCTAGACAAAACACACAGGTCTTTGTCCTCCAGGAATGCCCCCCCCTCCCCCGCTCCTGCCCAGGGGAGGACCGCATTCTCCTCCAAGGTTTGAAAAGGCCTGTGTTGCAGGCTTCTGACAGTCATCTCTGTGCTACTAACCTATGCCACAAGGGCCTGCTGGGAATCTTATTTCCTCCCCAGGCAGCACCTCTGGCAGGAGGCAGGACACCTGTGAGGCATCTGTAGCTTCAAAGGATTTGGATCTTTCTTTTTTCTTTCTCCTCCTTCCTTCCTCTTTTCTTTCTTTTTCTTTCTTTCTTTTTTTTTTTTTTTTTTTTTTTTTTTTTTTTTTTTTTTTTTTTTTTTTTTTTTTTTTTTTTGAGGCTAGGTCTCATGTAGCCCAAGTTGGCCTCAAACTATGTAGCTGAAGATGGCCTTCAACTCCCAAGCCTCCTGCTTCCAATTTTCAAGTGCTGGGACTACAGGCACACAGGCATAGACCACTATGCCACACTAAATTTTTTTTTTAACATTTTCTCTCTGGTTCAATTGTAAAATAAATGATGCAGCTGTGGCAGGGATTATGAAACCTGTTAGCACATGAAGAAAATGAGGCAGGGAGATGACAAGAGACTCATGTAGCGATGTGGCAGAGCAGGGACCAGAACCTATTTAGATCCAGGGATGTCTCCTGTGGATGTAGGAAGACAAGAGCGGTGGGTGTGACAAAGCTGGGGTGATGGTTATAACTTGCACGAGTCTTGAGGGTGCCTTTTCTTTTTCTTTGGTTTGTGTGTTTTGAGACAGAGTCTCCCTATAGCCCCCAGCTGGCCTGAAACTTACTCTTTAAAAACCAGGCTAGCCTTGATCTCACAAAGATCCACCTGCCTCTGACTCCTGAGTGCTGGGATTAAAGGTGTGCCCACCACACCTGGCTGAGGGTGCTCTGTCTTGATCCCCCATAACCAGAGTGCTGTCTTCTTCATGGCACTGTCAGGCATATCTGGCCATCATTGTGATCATAGTCCCCCAGTCTCTGGCCAGAAGCTGAGGTGCCACATGCCAGTGGGCTCATCTCTGCATGGCCAGGCCCAGGCCACACCTGCCACCACCCAGAGATTCTTGTTGGTAGAGCGCCCATCATCAGAAGTATCCCAGGGCTGGTTTGTTGCATAGCCTTCTCTGTACTGAGCACTGAGGGCAGCCCACACCTCCTCCTTCTTCTTCCCCTGGCAAAGAACTTATCAGTGCCGTCCCAGGCCACAGCTCTGGCCATTCTGCTTCCTGTGGGTTTCTGCTATCTTTGTACATCCTTCCAAGGAACTTTGCCTGTGGCCCCAAGAAGATTATGCTGTTCTGAAAATCTGCCACCAGTGCCTAATCCAATCTGATTCTGTGTCCCATGAGCCTATGGCTCTAACCAAACAATTCCTGGCTTTTTGGAGGTTCACTCTGACACATGGGTCCTTCATCCCCACCCCCACCGCCGACTCCACCACTGCCTCTTCCTCCTCCTCTTCCTCCTCGTCCTTCTGTTCAGTCCAAGCCCCCTTTGTTCCTGAGGCCTCGATCAAGTCCTGAAGCAGACAGAGGCTGCCTTGCTGGCCTGCACCCCTGGGGAGTGTGCTCTCTGGTCTGGAGTGAGGCCAGCACAGGAGGGTTGATGGGCCTCCACTTGTCTTGCAGGTGAAATTGCCCTGTGGTCCCTGGTGGTCCTGGCCATTGAGCGGTACGTGGTGGTCTGCAAGCCCATGAGCAACTTCCGCTTTGGGGAGAACCATGCCATCACGGGTGTAGCCTTCACCTGGGTCATGGCGCTGGCCTGTGCTGTACCCCCACTTGTTGGCTGGTCCAGGTAAGGGCACTGAGTACAGAGGGGTCTGAAAGACCTTTGTCAGGCCCCCAATCAGGATGCAAAGCCTGCTGGCTGGTCCCAGACACTGAGCTCTATAGTCCTGCCCCAAAACCCATCCTGGCCACCCTCCCAGAACCAGATCTAAGGCAGGGGAGAGGAGAGGGACCTTAATTGTGCTGTAAGTCTGGCTCTGTCTCCAAGCCCCATTTCAAGGAGAACCCCAGACACCCCAACCCCTTACCACATTGACCAAGCCCCTAATCTTCAGCTAAGCCAAGGCCAAACTGCAATCCTCTTTGGTCAAGTGCCCCATGAGTAGCTCTCTCTGACCTTGGACCTCAGCCCCTGGGGAAGCTGAACCTTCCTAATAGCCATGGTGACATTGTGGCCCTGGGAAGTGGGTCCTATCCCCCATCCAGGCCACTGTCTCCAATGGCAGCTGAGATGAGAGAAGACAGGGACTGTGGTTTGGACACACGGACAGGTCACTGGTTCCCAGAGTCCTTACCTCCCTCTGCCCCCAAGAAATCTCCATTTCCACTTCATGTCCTCATCTACCCTCCTAGAGCCCATTTTACAAAGTTTGCTGATCTGAGCTTTCTCCCTCCTCTGGCCTCTTTCCTTGTCTTCACCCACCTGGCCTGGCAGGCCTCTGCAGATACAGTCATGGGCACTCTGGGGTTTCTGAAGGCAGTTAGATGTCACTGACTTCAGACATTAGGGGAACATCTGGAACATTCCAGAAGTTGCACAAGGTCCTTTAGATGGCAGCACCCTCATTATTGGTCTAGGAAGCATCCTGTGCTTGGATACCTTCATCTATAAACAGTTGCATACACAAGGTAGGCCTGTGCCCTCCTCCCCAGCACCCTATATCTACTCATCTGAGCTACCCCAGTTGTGTAGCTAGGTATCAGGAGGCCTGATGGCTCTGAACCTGAGGGCAGAGACGGGGCAGTTTCATCAGGCAGTGGGGCCAGCAGGTGAGGATACCATGTTTCCAAAGACCTATAGGAACTCCTGCCCACTAGGGACCCTGCCCCTCAGGCCCAACCAAGCAGGTGTCTCCTTGTCTTACCCACCACTCCTTACATCAACCCTCAGGTACATTCCTGAGGGCATGCAGTGCTCATGCGGGATTGACTACTACACGCTTAAGCCCGAGGTCAACAATGAGTCATTTGTCATCTACATGTTCGTGGTCCACTTCACCATCCCCATGATCATCATCTTCTTCTGCTATGGGCAGCTGGTCTTCACAGTCAAGGAGGTACAAGCTGGGACTTGGGTGCCAAGGGCTTCTAATGTGTGTCCCCAGTCACATGCTGGACAGCCAGAGCTGGGTGTCAGGGCCTGTGTGGACACTGTGGGCTGGACCTAGGTCTGTGTCCCTGCAGGCCGCTGCCCAGCAGCAGGAGTCAGCCACCACGCAGAAGGCAGAAAAAGAAGTCACCCGCATGGTCGTCATTATGGTCATCGCCTTCCTGATCTGCTGGGTACCCTATGCCAGCGTAGCCATGTACATCTTCACCCACCAGGGCTCCAACTTTGGCCCCATCTTCATGACCCTACCAGCTTTTTTTGCCAAGAGCGCCTCCATCTACAACCCGGTCATCTATATCATGATGAACAAGCAGGTACCTGCAGTTTGGGGAATGGGGGCGTGGAGGAAATGAGGGGGGAGGAGACCAGGCAGGAGAGGGGCTCCACTGGGATGCTGGTAGGTTGGCAGACTCCCAATCTCTGGGTGGCTCCTCTGGGAGTAAGCCCTCCAGGTGGCCCAACACTCCTATGAGACTGTCTCAAAAAACAACAAAAACAAACAATTCCAAGCCCGGAATGGGTAATCTCAGTGATTCTAAAACTGACAAGTTGCTTAAAAGGCTGGTTCCAAACACGAAAGGGATCAGCACTTGTTAAAAATTATGTTTCCATCTGGGCAGAGTGGTGCACACCTTTAGTCCCAGCACTTGGAAGGCAGAGGCAGGCATCTAGATCTTTGTGAGATCAAGGCCAGCCTAGTCTACATAGCAAGTTCTAGGCCAACCAGGGCTACAGGGAAATCCTGAGTAAAAAAATATGTTGGGGATTTTTCATATATATATATATATATATATATATATATATATAGTTTCTTTGCAGTAGAGGAAGAAGTCTTTGGACATAGGCACTGGATTCAAGTGCCAGCACTGCCATGTTCTAGCTGTGTGACCTCGGGCAAATCAGATATCTCCTTCTCTGGGCTTCAATTTCTTCATTCACAAAAGGACCAAATCCCGAATTCTCAGATTAAATGAGATCATTCATAGAATGCCCTGGACACCCATAGGACACTGTGGAATGTCATTTGACAATGACCCCTTGTGCTGGGTCCCTGGCATCTCTATGGGTGGGATAACATACACTTAAGCAAGTTCCTTCCAGGTAGCCAGACTTGGGGTCGGGGGAGGATGTGGGAGGCTGAGGCAGGGCAGGGTGGTGAGGCACTTTCCTGAATGGTGCCCCCTGCCTTCTAGTTCCGGAACTGCATGCTCACCACCCTCTGCTGTGGCAAGAACCTCCTGGGTGATGAGGAAGCATCTCCCACCGCCTCCAAGACCGAGACCAGCCAGGTGGCCCCGGCCTAAACCCAGCCAGAGACTGTGGCTGACTGTAGGAGTCTTCTGTCCCCACTCACCCCAGCCACAGCCCCCACCAAGAGCAGTACCTGTTGGAATGAGGTCATACAGGCTCCCTCAGTGTGTGTTTGCTTGTTTATTTTTAATGAATTAAAGAAAAACAAGGCTCCCTACTTACTTAGGGATAGCCTGAGAAGGGACATCTGTCCACCAAGACCCCCAAGCTGGAGTACCTAATTCCCAGGGGCCAGCAGGATCTGTACCCCTCCCCCAGCTTGTTTCTCAGGAACACAAAAAGTGCCCCAGCTTAGGGCTAAGTGTCTAGGACAGAACAGGGCACACAGTAGATGCTTAATAAATGCTAGCTGGATGAAGGGAGGAATGATGAAATAATGACTGGAGATGTGACTGAGGGGATGCATGGGAGGGGCATGTCTGTCTCCAGGTCCCTACCGGGCAGGTGCCAGTCATGTTTGCCTGGCATCTTTCAGCAGTTGTTTTTACCTCCCTGGTTTTGTTTTCTTTGCCCCTAAGGTGGGAATCCCAAATCCCAGGCCCCAACAGTGTATGGCTGCTTTGAAGACTCTGTGTGTGTGTGTGTGTGTGTGTGTGTGTTTGTGTGTGTGTGTGAGAGAGAGAGAGAGAGAGAGAGAGAGAGAGAGAGAGAGAGAGAGAATGGGTACTTTGTACATAGTAAGGAGTGCACAGATGGTGGCTACATCATGAATAATATCAATTAACAGAATTAATTAACCATCATGAGTGTCTCTGCTTGTTAGTGACCATTTGGGAGTTGGGCAGGGCCCAAGCACTCAGATAGGGTTTCCTCCAGCTTCAGCAGGCTTCAACAAATAAGCCAAGTCTTCAGGCCAGTGCAGGGCTGGAGCTGGACTCTGGAGGGGCAGTGAGAGGAATGTGGAGTGCAGACATGGGGGCTGAGAAAGCACTGTGGCCTGGGGTCCCAGGCAAGATCTGGGTCCTGTCTCTGGTGTGCCCCCCACCACCACACCAACTCATACCTCCTGGTCCTGCTTGGCCTGTGGAGACCAGGCCTTCTTCTTGGCTTCTGGACCCATCTTCCAGCCCAGCACCTGGGTGGCAGCAGTGCCCAGCCAACGGGGAGTTCTAGAAGTTGAGCTAACCTGCCCACAGTCAGGGAGGAGCTGAGTCCTTGATGCCTCCCTTGTCCTGAAGAGCTCAGAAAAACAGAGGGAGATGTGGTCAGGCCCCTTCCCTGGGATGCTCCTGGTCCTAGTTCCCAACTCCCTTGCTGGATATACCCTGTTTTCCTTGGCAATTGGTCTGTTCTTGACCTGAAAGAGTCTTGGCTTCGAGGTCAACAGGAACTCCAGATTGCCAGAATTAAGCTGCTTCAGTCTGCACCCCTCCCATGCACAGAACCACCATGCCCAGCTCTGCCTAGCATGCAAAAGGAGACATTAAAAGCTCAGCGCCTACACCTGGTAGCAGTGGTGGTCTGTTGTGCTCTAGCTCTTTATCCACAGGATGGGGCAGCCTCCCCTCCACTTGGCCAAGGAGGGCTGGAGAGGCCACTGTGTGGAGACAAGCAGCCCAGACTTCCTGGGAGGGGTGCGATACAGTAGTCCTAGGAATTCAAGAAACCCAGCTTGAGTAGCATGCAGACAGAGTGACCTTTTTAAGCCTTATCTGCATAGGAAGTTTAGACCTGCCCTTGAGGGGATTAAGTGAGATCTAAAGGACTTAGTGGACAGCCCACTTCCTGGCATGTTGCAGTGACACTCTGGGCCTCTGATGGGTGCTGACCTTACCAGACATCTCCACTCTGCCAGGGGAGTGGGATGGAGTGACACCACCAAAGAAGAGAAGAGCCAAGGGCCTGGGATGGAAGACACCCTGGGGGTGTCTGTGAGGGTTCATTTGGTGGCAAGTGACAGGAAATCAAGCTGAACTTCTGGAGCAGATCTTATCACAGAATCTTAGGTCAGTGACCTGCTCTGTCTCTCTTCTGTGTTGACTCCACTCACAGGCCAACTGTTCCCCAGAGGTGGCAGAAAGTCCTCAGCAGTCCCTGGGCCAGCAAGCCCTCCAGAAAGGGGCTTTCCTTCCCCAAATGGTTTGTCAGGCTCTTATTGGGCAGATCTAGGTCACCTGATTACTCCTAAGCGTATCATGTCTAAGAGATTCATATTGATTGGTCAGGGTTCAGTCACCTGATCACCTCTAACTCAATTACTATGCCAGAGATGGGGATACATCTGATTGGCTCAGCCTGGGTCACCTGATCATCTCTAACTGAATCACCATGTGGAAGATAGAGATTTGTGGATTGTCACATGCTCATACCCCCAAGACAAACTTGACTTCACTTAACCAAAGAGTCTGTAGGATGTATTCCCCAAAGAAACAAGGGGCGGGGGTTTCCAGTTTCCAGTAGTAGGAGGAGAACAGGACTACCACCAGTTCAGAGGGATGGGGGCTAGCAGGTGCTGGTCAAGGCCCTGGAGCTTTGTGGATGAGGGAGATTCCCATGGACACCACAACTCTGGCTATTTTCCATGTTTCATGGACCAGGGGTAGCTGTTGGCGAGATAGTGGCATTTCAGCTACCTGGCCTTGTTCCGCCCCCATCCCCCCTAGTTCACTTGACCAACATTTGTCCCCACCTATTCCTGTCTAGGAAAAATGTCCTTTCAGAACCAGAATGCTCTGGGTTGTCATGTTGGAGAGCGTGGTCTCCACCTCCTTCCACAGTTGATGGACAAGCCCTTATCCATCAAGGTGGGTACAGAAAAAGAGCTGCTCACCCCAGCTGGGACCTGGAGTCCCCACAGGGTCACCTGCCAGGCTCTAGGCAAACAAAACTTTATAGAGCACCTGCTGTAGACCATCCACTCAACCAAATCTAGGGAAGCTGCCCATGGATTAGAACATACTGCACCATGGGACCTGGCCAACCTTGGTCACAGACCCATCACCCCAGTAAAGAGACACCACCTTGGACAGCCTTAGGTGTTCTGGAGGAAACACAGTGCCACCTCCCCAGCCTCAGAGTACATCCCTGAACTTTCATAGGTCATGGCTCTGAAACTGAGAGACATCTCAGTGGGTGAAAGGTTAGAGAGTGTTTCTTCACCTGTTTCCACCCATGGTCCCTTTGCACATGAGAACATTTTACACAACCCTAGGTATATATGGAATAAAATAGGCATACAAATCAAATATATATTGATAATCATAAAGAAATTTATTGTAAAATAATTCTTTGGTATATATGTAATTGTATAATTAATAAAGATGAAGTGAATTTGCATACTAATGAGATGGATGTGCTTATTTTTACATAAAGAATGAAATCTTGGCTGAATATTTGATACTGCAGGGTGGAGAGCGTCTTCAGCATTTTTCAGAGTTGATTGATATTTTGATTTTATAATTATCAATGGGGAGAACACTGCTTTGCATAAATACACAGTAGAATATGGCATGGCAGAAGTATGTTCAGGCAGTTTTGGAAATTGTTGGAAATTCTTTTCTAATCCCAAGCCAAAATTCATTGATCGATTTGTGCATGTGTGTGCATGTGCTTTATGCCTCTGTGCACATGTATGTAGGTGTGCATTCACTGTGCATGTGCATTCGACTTCAGGTGCCTTCCTTATTCATCACCACCTTATTTTTTATTTATTTTTTAAATTTTATGTGTATGCATGTTTTTCCTGCATGTATGTAAGTACACCATGTGCCTGGTGTGATTGGAGGCCAGAGTGGGTGTCGAATCCCCTGGAACTGGAGTTTACAGATAGTTCTTAGCCATCATGTGAGTGCTGGGAACTGAACCAGGTCCTCTGCAAGAGCAGCCAGTGCTCTTAATCACTGAGCCATCCCTCCAGCCCCAACACCTTATTTTTTGAGACAGGGTCTCACTGAACCTGGAGTTCAGAGCATTGACTAGACTACTGGCCAGCGAGTCCCCAGGATCCACCTATCTCTGACCCCTCTGTACTGGGGTTATAGACTCAGGTGGCCCCACCCAACTTTTACATGCGTGCTGGGATTCTGAACTCAGGTCCTCATGTTTGTACAGCAAGCACTTTACTAGCTAAGCCATCACCCCAATCGGTGATTTTTTTTTGTATGAAACTCAAGTCAGCAATTTCAAACAGAATTTTTTAAATCAAACATTCTAATATAATCCAATCTAGACTAACTTGGCCATTACATGCTGAAGAATGATGGTGGGAAACATTAAAAGTCTTTATTTTACCTAATTGAACCATTATGTTTCAATAAGAGCAGAAAACTTTATATGCATAGTTTTAAAAAAGAAAAAACAAAAAACTCTGTAATTCATATTGGAGATAAGATCAGGATTGCAAATCAAGAGACCACCATTTAGGGGCTGGAGAGATGGCTAAGTGGTTAAGAACATTGGTTGTTCCTACAAAAGATCCAAGTTTGAATCCCAGCACCCACGTGGCAGCTAACTACTGTCTGAAACTCCAGTTCTAGGGGATCCAACAGCTTCTGTCCTCTGTGGGCATTGCACAACATAGGTGCACTTACCTACACACAGGCAATACATGCATACACATAAAATTAAAATAATAATTTTTTTTTAAAAAAAGAGACCACCATTTAACTTAAGGCAAATTTAACTTCCGCACAGAAGGACGCGTAGCCACCAAAAATTGGAAGGAGAGCCTTTTATCACTGATGCGAGAAGCACTTAGCTGTCCTTCACTGAGCTTCAGCCTTACAATCTACTCAAATGACTGGTCGGGAAAACAGCATGGAACAAAAGAGAGAAAGGGATGTGGCATTCAACCAGGAATTGTGACAGTGGGTTACAGTATCAGGCACACGACTAATCCAAGGAGTTCATGAATAAGTACTCTTTGTTGTTGTTGTTGTTGTTGTTGTTGTTTTGAGACAGGGTCTCCCTGTAGTCCCAGCTGGCCTGGAACTCACAGAGATCCACCTGCCTCTGCCTCCTAAGGGCTGGGATTAAAGGTGTGCACCACCATGCCTGGTTTAAGTGTTCATTTCTTAACAAGGGAGCAGGGAGAGTGGTTGGTCATGAGAAACCACTGCTAAACTTTTTTGGAGGAAAGGGTTAAATCGCTCATGTTCACAACATTCAGCAGTTTGGAATCTGAGCTGAGAGGTGGTGTGATGGCATGCACAGAGCGAAGTGTGCCCGTTTGTGTTCAGAACCAAGGCTGTGGTGAAGTCACATGATGCAACATGGGCAAGCACTGCCAGAGATACCTCAGAGTCATTTCGTGTTTGATTTTTCAATTTAAAATGTTTTAGTACATCTTACTTATTGTGTGTGGGTTAAGGATACACATTCCATAGGGCACATGTGGAAGTTAGAGGACAGTGGGCCCCCCAGGATGCAACTCAGGTCCTGGGGTTTGGCGGTTAAGTGCCCTTACCTGCTGAGTCATCTCACCTGCCCTTGAATTCAGTTTTGATGGTTGTGTGTTCAGACATTTTTTTACCGTTGTCAAAGTTTCCATGACCCCTACATTTTGTTACAGGTCCCCGTCTGGCTTGTGGCTCACGGTCTAGGGATCTGGGGTCTAAAGGACCCAGGAGACATGGGCATGAATGATACAAATGACAATTCACACAGCACTTGTTCAGTGCACACGACTTTCCTCCCCAGAGATGAGGACGAAGTGCAGAGGAAGCAGAGGTGGTGTGGGAGGAGAAAGATCAGAGAGGAGAAAGCAGGATGGGGGTCTCAGGACAGGGGAGGCAAGTGCCAGATGCCCATCATTTCCCTTCCTTTGTGAGGAATAATCCAAGTTCTAGCTGGGCACCTGACGGCGTGTCCCTGCTCCCCTCCTAACTTGATGGCGTGTTGCCTATCAGAGTACTCAGAAGGGTGCAAACTCCGAACTTCACAGAGAAAGGTGAAGAGAAAAACGCCCTCCACGCTTCCTTTCTTTCCTTCTTGTTGGAATGTGGTCCTAATGGCCAGAGCTGCAGCAATAACAGTGAATCCTAAGATAGAATCTGAGCCCCTAGATTGACAAAGGGTGAAGAGTCAAGTTCTCCTAGTGCGGCCTCACCAGCTGGGGCCTCCCTAGCCCTGACCTTGCAGTCCTGGGCCTTTAAGCTGGGGCACCTTAAAGAGCTAATGAAGGGTTGGTCTCAAGAGAATGATTATTTTGAAGTTATTACCTCTTTTTAAAAATATTTTTATTTTTATGTGTATGAGTGTTTTGCCTGCATACATATAAATGCACCTATGTGTGCAGTGCCCATGGAAGCCAGAAAGAGGGCGTCAGATCCCCTGGAACTGCAGTTACAGCCAGTTGTTAGCTACCAAATGGGTGCTGGGAACCCAACCTGGGTCCTCTGCAAGAGCAGCCAGTGCTTTTAACTGCTGAGCCATCTCTCCAGCCCCTATTGCCTCTTTCTTAAGTGGCACAATGGACTTCCAGATTGCAACCAGGGCCAGAGCTTGGAAAGGTCTACCAACACTCCCTCCCTGAACTTCAGCCTCTTCGTGTGGAAATAAATAATGAAGATATGGATTCACACTGACACCAGACACAACAGCCTCTATTTCCTCCCCACCCTGATTCAACCATTGACAGGAAGTCAGGATATAAAAGTCACAATGTCTTGACTGCACAGGGTGGGCCCTGCCCAAAGTGAAGACCCTCTGACTGCCTTAGAAAGTTCAGGGTGGTGAACTGGAGCTAGCCCAAGGGCAGCTTGGGTTCCAGAAGGAAAGCAGCCCCTCCCCACCCCACAGAGAACTCAGGAGTTGGCAGAGGGCGCTGCCCCCGCCAGCAGTCTCCCTGCCTCTTAACTCCCTGTCAAGTGGCAAACCCCTCTGAGAATTTTTAGATTTCACAGACTTTTTAGAACTTCCTTCCCAACACAAAACTCCATCCTGGCACAGCCTGGGTGCAGGGTTTCAGCGAAGCTCGTGGGAATGTTTACACTACAGAGCGTTTCTGCATTTCTCAGTTCTTGGAAATGCCCCACAAATGTGATCAAAATTGCTGCCCCCGTTTGCACCAGCTCCCATTTGCCTCTTTGCCTCCTTGAAGCTCTTTTTCTGTCTAGCACCGGGCCAGCCAGGCCAGCAGTGGTTTGTAGGTCTCTCTCTACTACATTGAGCCACAGTAGTGCAGCAGCAAGTCCTGCTCACCTACTGTGTGCAAGTGTCGAGTTGGGTGCCAGAGATACCTTCTCTACTCCAGAGCTCAAGAGCCAGGAATGGGTAATGCACAGTTGTAATTCAGAGGCTCTGCGGGAGCAAGTTCAAGGACTGGCAGCGCCCTAAATTTCTAGGGGTAAGGGAGGCTTTCCTGAGGAAACCTTGTCTACATCAAGGCCCTGAAAGTGTGTGATAAGTAGTCCAGAAAAGGTAAGTAGGAGTAAAGGAAGCCCTCTAGGTCAAGTGTAGCAGCAAGCTTGTGCTGTATAACAAATACTCCTGAATTCACATCTTAAAGTAACAAACCACAGATCATTGCTTCTGGCTCTGAGGACTAGCTAGGTGGTTCTACTGATTGGGATCCAGCTTGAACAGCCTCTGTTGGGCTCCTTCAAGCATCTAGGTGCTGGGAACTGATCCCTGGTATTCTGCAAGAGCAGCCAGTGCTCTTAACTGCTGAGCCATCTCTCCAGCTCCAAGGGTATAGATTTTCTTCTTTTTGGTACTGGAGGTTGAACCCAGAGTCTCAGGAATGTTAAGCCCTCATTAGACATACCCGCACCCACAGCCCCACAGCATGGTTGAATTGTAGAGTTTTGGGGAGAAGGGATCCAGATGGAAGAGCATACCCCAAAGTAGTAGGGGCTGTGGAGGGGTCTAGGAAGACAGTGAGGGCTGCTTTCACTTTAGAACACTTTGAGGGCCACAGCCTTCCTCAATTCAGACCTGTAATAATGGCCAATTCTCTGCAACCCCAGCAAACAGAGACCACACACACAGAGAAACATGTAAGTCTGCCTTAAACCATCCCTTCAGACCTGTACCTCTTCAAAGGCAACCACATTGGTATGAATTCCTTCAGACCTTCGATGCTGCCTACTCATTTTCACAGCTGTATACTATCCCACTGTGCAGGCCACAATTGACTTAGCCTGTTTCCACCTGATAAGCTTTTAGTTTGCTTTGAATTTCTGCTAAGATTTCAAAAGTCTGTAGGAGAGTTCCCCTCATTTTTCTCCACGGTGGAATGGGTGGGCTACAGGACATTTTCATGTCTAGCTGCATTAGAAGTTGAATTGTAACTGTGGTAGCTGACCCGTTGGCCCTCCCAGTGCTGTGTATTTCCACATTTCCTTGACAGTCACAGTGACAAATACTTAAATGTTCTTCAGCCAAGTGGAAGACAGAAAGTGTCCTTGTTTTAATTCACCTTGTTTTATTCATTTAGTTTGGGTTGTTTATTCTTTAATCAGGGCTTTTCTATGTACTCCAGGCTACTTCAATCCTGCCTCAGCCTCCTCAATGCTGGAACAACAGGCACAAGCCATCAGGTCTGGTCATCTTGTCATTGTGTGTGGCTATAGTGTATTTTATGGCGAGGGAGCAATTTTACACAGACTTCTGTGGCTCACTTGGAAGTTACTTCTCATTTTTAAATGTTTCCAGATGGCACAGCTCTGTCTCTAGGAGGGAAGGGTGGGGTGGGCTTAGGGGGGGGGCCCTCCTCGAGTAGGCCAGCCCAGGTCACAACCCTGGCGGGGCAGCAGGCCAGCTCCCTCACCCAGTCAGTGTTTCAGTGTTGGGCAGTGTGATGGGAAATTGTGCCCTACGCCTGGCCCATGTGTGTCCTTGAATGTCAAGGACAATGGAGAAACACTGGCTGTCAGCTTTTCTGGGGGACAGCTCTACTACTAATGCATTTCCCACGCAACAGGGTCCTCAGAAAGACTTTTGCTAAGCATGTTTTATTTTGTATTGTTTTCAGAATCATGCTTTCATCCCTTAATGATTTCTTTCTTTAAAAACAAGAGAAGGCGGGTGTGGTGGTACATGCCTGTAATCCCTGTGCTTGGGAGGTGCAGGCAAGAGGATGAGGAGGTCATGGCCAGCTTGGGCTACACAGCAAGTGGAGGCTAGCTGGGGTTACATGAGACCTTGTTTCAGCTCCCCTACTTCACCTCAAGCTTCAATGCAATTTAAAAAGTAAATAAAAATAAAAGTGACACAAAAGGAAGGTATAGGTTTCGAGAGCCTGCTGGCCCCAGGAAAGGTCACAAGCTCCAAGCAGGCCCTCCCATGGGTCCCCAATTGCTACTTTTTGAGAAACTGAGGCCAGAAGTGATCTGGGATCAGGGCAGATATTGGGATGGCCCTGGGTGGAGCTGTGGCCCCACCTCCATAAGCCAGGTGCCCCCATTCACTGCCATCTCCAGCCAGGTAGACAGAGGGGTAGGAGGGACACAGGGTCTCCACCTTCCTTATTTTTGCATGGCCTAGGGTACCACAGGGCTGGGTGGCTGGGTGCTCCAAGCAGGGGTCTGGCCCTGCACCTTCCTTCTCCAGGCCCAATTGGCAGCTGTTGGTCATTGGCTGGTGGGTAATGGGAGTTATTTAAGACAAGAGAGCTCAGAGACCTAACACCTGGAGGGTGAGTGATCAGCAGGGTCTGCAGTTGCCTATGCCATGGCTCCAGGAAGCATCGCCAGCGTCTCATCCTCTTCTTCCTCTTCCCCCTCCACCGATACATCACCTTCTGGGTCATCTGTGTCCCTTAGGACTGACAAGCCAGGTAAGCTGGTGGCACCCTCTCTTGTCTCTGCAAGTGTCCCCGGGTGTATGGTGTGTCCCTGCATTCTACTTGACTCGGTGCCCAGTTAAGCCCCAGGTTGTGGAAAGAGCTAATACCATAGTCGAGGCCAGATGGTCCCAGGACTGAGCTGGCCTAGCACTGGGCAGGTGGCCACAAGCCTCCTTAGCTGGAGCCCATCTCCTGTCAGAGCAAACCTGGTCCAGCTGCAGAGCACCCCAGTGTTCAAATAACAAATGGTTCCAGGCATTTGCCTGTGACAGTCCCTCTGCTCCTCACCTAGGGGTACCCCCAGTACTTTGGGAAGCCTTTGGGCAAAGTTCCCCTCAAGAGTGGGCAGAGCTATATAGGTCTTGGGGAACAGGGAGAGAAGTCAATCAGTTCAGTCTTCAGGTGGATCTTATTCACTGGAGGCAATGGGAGCCATGGAGGGTTTCAAGCAGGGTAGTGAGGGCTCAGAGATGTACTGAGAATGGGTCAGAGGTGGGGAGGAGCATGTGGGAGTGGGACTATTGGGGGAGGAGAGAACTGGAGCCAGGGTTGGGAGTGAATTGGGGGTGGTGAGGGCCGATCCTGGAGATGAGGGCAGTTTGCTGGTTGAGTCGTATGCTGGACATCTTGATACACAGCCAGCATGGATAACTGCTAGGTGAGGCCTGGGGTTGGAGACAGGCCTGAGGACACCTTGGGTGAGGAGTTGCCTGGGCAGGGGAGGAAAGTGGACCTCTCCCTGAAATCAGGAAGCCAGGTGCAGCTGGGATGGCACAGACAGCCCACACAGACAGGGGCACTGAGGCCCAGGGTGGGGGGATGGTTCTAAGGGCAGAGCTGGATGCTCCCTCCTCCTGGCTTTGGCTCCTGATGAAGAGCTGCCTGAGGCTATGCTATAGGAGTTCCCTTGGACCTGGCACCCTCAGTGCCCTCTGCATGTGGTTTCATGTGGCTTTTTCTTCCTATTTAAAAAATCTTTGTAATACATGGTAGCCCATGGCTTCTTTTGAGTTTTGCAAATCATTCCAGTAGCATCCCCTCTGTGCTTAAATCACGGACCTGTGGCTGCTGGCTTCTCTGTGCATCCAACTCTACAGTGTGTGTTAGAATGTTTTCACTTCCTCAAAAGGAAAAATCTATAGCTCTTAGTAGTCAATCCCCAGCCTCACTCAATCCCAAGCCTCCACTAATCTGCATCTGTAGATTTGCCTGGCATGGAATCATACAATACACAGCCCTTTGCCACTGGCTTTTTCTCTTGGCCTGTCTTTAGGAGCCCCCCCACCCCGACCGCCACTGTAACATCTGTTCACACTTCACCCCTTTTTAAGGCCAAGTCCTACTATTCCTTTGAATATACATGTCACAGTTTATTCACTCATCCATCATTGGTCACAGGCATTTGGGTTGCTTCCTTTTTTGTTTTTTTGTTTTGTTTTTTTTTTTTTGACTGTTGGGAATAATTGCTGCTATAAACATTCATGTACATTTCTGGTGACAGACCCCAGGGCCTTGCACATTCTAAGCACACTATCACTGGACCAGTCTTTACCCCTCATGTATAGATCTTCATGTATTCATTTTTTTATCACCTGCCTAGGAATGGGATTCTTTTTTACTTTTTTTTTTTCCAAAGTATGTTTCTTTAAAATACATTTACAGAAAGAGAGAGAGTTTATTCATGTGGAGGTCTGAGGACAACTTTGTGGAGTTGGTTCTCACCTTATATCATGTAGGTTCCAGGGATCAAACTCAGGTTATATCAGACCTGGTGGCAATCTCTTTTACCTGCGGAGCCATCTTGCTGGCCTCCAGTTTCATTTTATCATACAGGGTTACATAAAGCCATTTTCATGAAAGTATATAATGTGCTTTGAGTTATTTTGCCCCCTTTACCCCACTCCCTACCTTCTTCTGTTAGTTTCCAGGGTCTCCCTATAGCCCCAGCTGGCCTGGAACTCACTATGTAGACCAGGCTGGCCTTGAACTCACAGAGATTTGCCTGACTCTGCCTCCTGAGTGTTGGGATTAAAGGCGTGTGCCACCACACCCAGCTGACTTCTACTTTTTAAAAAAGATTTTATTGTATATATAGGTGAGTTTCGCCTGCATGTATATAAGTGCATCCATTGTCATGCAATGCCCTCAGATCAGAAGAGGGTGTTGGATTTCCTGGAATTACAGTTGCTAGCCACCATGTGGGTGCTGGGAACCAAGCCTGAGTCCTCTGTAGGAATAGCCAGGGCTTTATCTTAACCCCTGAGCGATCTCTCCAGCCCTTGACTCCTGCATTCATGCTACCTGAACACACAGGATCTTGTATCTATAAAGTCTAGGACCCACAAACAATGGTAACTTTTTATTAAGAAAACTTTCAAACTGATAGAACAGGCTGGGGGTGGGGCTGAGTCCCTCCCAGTGTCCATTAGCCTCAACAGTCCTCAGCTGTGACGGCTTTAGATGCAGCCGCTGGGTTATTTAAAACACATGCCAGGCCCAGCATTTTATCTGGAAATAGTCCAGGATCAATTTCCAACAGATAGGAACTTTTGAAAAAGCTGTGTCAGGACTGCGGATGAAGTTCAGTGGTAGCACACCTGCCTGGTATGCATGCACAAGGCCTTGGACTTGATCTTCAGCACTGCAACATAAATTAAGACATCCTATGCAAACCTGAATCAGAACCATCTTTAATGTCTTTTTTTTCCTCCTGTCATTCACATGTATTTGATTGCTTTTTTCTATTTCTGATCTCTCTCTCTCGCTCTCTCTCTCTTTCTCTCTCTCTCTCTCTCGTGTGTGTGTGTGTGTGTGTGTGTGTGTGTGTGTGTGTGTGTGCTTTATTTTATCGAGTCAAGGTCTCATTTTGTAACCTAGGCCAGTATGGAAATGGAGGGCCCCTGCCTCGGCATCTAGGGTGCTGGGGTAACAGATGTGCACCACCATGCCTGGCTTTCCAGGGTAAAGTCCTGCTATCAGGGCTCTACTGTGTTTGGCTGAGCACTTTCTCCCTGAGTGTCTTATGTCCCTGAGGTCCCTGGTACCTTTCCCTCTGGTGGCTCCTGTGTTAGAGAAGCTGCAGTGGCCCCTGGGAGCCTCCAGGTCCGCTTCTGAGTCCATGGAGAACTGTGGGCAGCTGACCTCACCTCAGTTTGCTTTTCAAGGGAACATCTAATTCTTCAAAAAGAGAGGAATTTGGCGAAGCCCCACAGGGACAGTGACCAGCATGGGGCTTCCAGACTGGCAGCCAGGGGCACCCACAGGGAGCTGGCTGTTGGTGTATGCTCTTGTCTTTGATTAGGGTGGAGGGCACCCTGTGCACTCTGGTTGATGCCCTGCTGTCCATCCCACAGGTCCAAGATACAGTGATGTCCGTGTGGGACGCCGCAACCCAACAATGCTACGCATGGTGCTGGAGGCCATGCAGGCCAGGGAGCGACGCCAGGGCACATCTGTGGTGGCCATAAAGATCTATATCCTGCACAAGTACCCGACAGTGGACGCCACCCGCTTCAAGTACCTGCTCAAGCGGGCCCTGGACACTGGCATGAGCCGTGGCCTCCTCGCCAGGCCTGCCAATTCCAAGGCCAAAGGCGCCACTGGCAGCTTCAAAGTGAGCCATGGGCAAGGTCGGGGAGGTCTTGGCCCAGGGTCTGGACATTAGGGCCTTTGCACATGCTGCTCTTCTCCCCAGATCACCCCTCCTCAGCTCTTCTGCTTGTCAGTCCTCTATGGTAGAGCCATAGACTCTGTCTCTAGAAGGCTGATGCATTGGCTCTGTCTGGATCCCAAACACCAAACAGACGCCCTTTCTCCTTGTCCCTCTAGATAAGGAGGCTCTGAGTAGGGACCTGTCAAGGCCACTCAGAGCTAACAGAAGATTTTGGATCATGCCTGCCACCAGTCACCAAGAAAACCTTGGGGAGCCAGCCTACAGTTGGGGAGTCTGAGTGTAGCTTTTGTTTTTTTTGAGACACGGTATCACTGTGTAGCTCTGGCTGGCCTGGAACTCACTATATAGAATAGACTAGGCTGGCCTTGAATGCACAGAGAACCACCTGCTTCTGACTCCCAAGTGCTAGTATTAAAGGCATGAGCTACTACCCCTGACCTTGGGAGCAGCTTCTCACCCATGTCCACCACATACCCAGGGTCCCATAGCTGCCACAGACAGTGTGGGCCAGTCTTGTCTTGCTGCATGCAGTACCTTTGACTGGGCTTCCTGTCTCAGGAAGTGCCCCCATTGGGGAGCTCTGCTGGGGCCTGGCTGGAGTGTGGCAGGAAGGTGGCACAGCAGAACTTCAACTGCATAGAGTTGGGAAGCTGGAAACGGTCATCTCCCCTCAAGGCCTGTGTTCTTGGGGACAGCAAGGAGGAACAGGGCTGAAAGGGATGGCAGAGAGGGTGAGGCTGGGGCTAAGGGAGAGGGAGGTGGAGGCCAGAGGCAGATCCTTGGAGAGGTATGAAGTGGGGTGCTCCAAGGAGATGACAAATTGGTACTCGGCGAGGTGTGATGGAGGCTAAGGTGTATGTGTGGGTGCCTCGCTCCACCCCCTTCTTAGCACTATTTCTGGGAACAGGGTCCCTTTGGCATCCTTTGTGGGGTACAGGGAAACCCAGAACTGTGCTCTTCCCCCACCCCATTCTCTTTCTCTAGTTAGTTCCCAAGCACAAGAGAAAGAAAACTGGTTCGAGGGGATCCACAGGTGCCAAGAGGACAGACCCCCAGAAACCTGGGAGGCCAAAGAGAGACCACACCAGTGAGGCCAAGGTGGAGAAGGTGGCTCTGAAGCCAGGACATGGGAGCAAGGCTTATCCCTGCCCAGGAGCCACTCTGGAGAAGGCCCCTAAGAAAGGCAGCGAGGCAAAACCAGAAGAGGCAAGGAAGGCACCCCTAAAATCAACTAAGGCCGTGTGGACCCCTGTCAGCACCAGCGGGCTGAGCCAGAAATCAAAGGTTAAATACAGTGCAAACAGGCAAGGTGTGTGTGTGTGCGTGTGTGTGTATGTGTATGATGGCGGGGAAGAGGGGTTGTCAGCAGCCTCTGGGGTAGGATGGCAGGGCTTCCCTTTCTAGGAAGTGGACCCTGAGTGCTAGATGGGACAGAAAGCCCATGGCAGGCAGTGGGGGAGAAACAGGGAGGCAGCAGAACCCAGAGAGACCAAGTCTAGCACATCCCGGAGGGAGCAGCCCATAGACACCTTAGTAAGCCTAGAAGCAAAAAGAAGGCAGGACTTTGGAGGAGTTGCAGGTAATTGTGTCTGTCTGCAGTGGAGTTGGGAGAAGCCCAAGGACTCTCTCACAATGAGGAGCACTGAGGGTCAGAGGTAGTTTTAAAAAATGGATCATGGAAGATGTTGCTTTGATACATATTCATAATCCCAGAACTTGGGGATATGGAGGCAGGAAGATTCCACATTCAAGGCCACATCTTTGGCTACATCAAGTTTAAGGTCACCCTGGGCTACATGAGGTCTGTGTCAACCAACACCTACTTCTGCCTCTGGCCCACCCCAAATGTATCATGACTGCTATGTCAAAGACAGAGCTAGAGGATGTGGGAAGCTTGAGCCAGAGCAGGTCTTCCTGGAGCCTGCAGAGGGAAGCAGCCCAGTTAAGCGTCCCATGTTGTGCAGGGAGAGTTTTCCCTGGTTTGCATCTAGAACCCAAGGCTTGGCAGTGAAACAGATGGCCTAGGTCACATGGCCTACGTGTGTCCCCTGCCTGGGTCTCAGAGCTTGTAAAACTTCCTGCCCCTCATGTCCCCCTCCATCTTTTAGGAGCAGCAGAGACCCATGGGAAAACCAAAGCTGTGGGCAAGAAATCAAAGCCCATGGCTAGCAAGGTAGGTGCTCTCTGATCCCCAGATCGGCAGTCCTGTCCTGAGCATTGTGGGCACAGCTCACATTCAGCCCCTAGAGGGAGAGTCCACTTCTCTTGGTGTCACTACCAACATCTTACAGATAAGGGACCAGGGCTTAGAGTTGACACTGTGCAAAGCCGCCGAGAGCTGAGGCTTCCTCTCTGTGCATTCGGACTCCGAGCTCTGTGTTGGGACTCAGAGCTTTGTGCCCAGCCCCACCTACCATTGCTTCCTTGCTCTGGCTCCAGGATGGTTTTTCCTCTGCATCCTGTCCTCTGTGTATGTGTGTGCATGCACTGACTCGTCTGCATCTGGAGGTCAGAGAGCAATCTTGTTCATTGGATGCATAAACCCTTTTTTTGTTTTGAGACAGGGTCTCCCTGTAGCCCCAGCTAGCCTGGAACTCATTATATAGACCAGGCTGGCCTCCATCTCCGCTGTCCGGTGTGAAGGGACTTCCACTTTGCATAACAGAGGTCTCCAACACATAAACCCTTTTTTTGTTTTGAGACAGGATCACCCTGTAGCCCCAGCTAGCCTGGAACTCATTATATAGACCAGGCTGGCCTCCATCTCCGCTGTCCGGTGTGAAGGGACTTCCACTTTGCATAACAGAGGTCTCCAACACATAAACCCTTTTTTTGTTTTGAGACAGGATCACCCTGTAGCCCCAGCTAGCCTGGAACTCATTATATAGACCAGGCTGGCCTCCATCTCACAGAGATCCACCTGCCTCTGCCTCACAAGTGCTGGAATTAAAAGTGTGCACCACCAGGTCCACTGTGTGTCCACCTTTTTAAAAACAATTTTTTATTGTATATATCTATTTCGTGTGTGCATGTGCCAGTGTGTATGTGGGCATCAGAAGTGGAGCAGTTCCCTCTTACCATGTGGGTTCTGGGAACCAACTCAGGTCGCCAGGCTTGGTGGCAGGGTCCTTTACCCACTGAGACATCTCCCCAGCTCTCCCCCTCCTTTTTATTGAGTCAGGAACTCTCACTGGCTTGGAGCTTGTCAGTGAGCTGTCAAGGTGGTCAGTGAACCCCAGGGATCCGCTGTTTTCCACCTCCCTAGCACTAGAATTATAAGTATTTATGATGCCAGCCTTTTAATATGGGTTCTGGGAAGTGAACTTGGGTCATTGTGCTTGCATTTTGAGCACTTTTACTGACTGAGCCATCTCTTCAACTCTTGGCTTGCTTTCTTACAGGTCCAGAATGGTGTTGCTTCTCCCACCAAAAGGAAGATGGCAGCCAGGGTCCTAAATAAGACAGTTGTTCAGGGGGCTGAGACAGGGCCCAAGACCAAAGCACCTGCTCCTCCCCGGGGCACAGGACTCAAGGCACAGCCCACATACAGGAAGACAAGGACCCCTGAGAGCCCCAAAAGGCCTTTGTTACCCACCAAGGCTTCTTTATCCAAGGTCCCCAACAAGAAGACAGAGGCTGGGAGCTAGGAGCTGGGGTAGGGAGAAGACAACCTGTGCTTTTTATTCCCCAACAAATGGTCACTCTATTTAATTATAACTTATTTATCAATAAAGACTTTGTTTCTTCACCCATTGGTGTGGTGAAACCCTGGTGTGGAGGCCTGAGCTGCTGGACTGTGGGGCAGGAAGGCCTGAAGGGGCAGATGAGGACTTTTGCCCTTTGGAGTCAGCAAGGCGTATAGGCAGAATAGCTGGTATGTTCAGAAAGAGCCTCCTGGCTGTAGAAGGGTGGGATGGAAGAGCTGAGGACTTGTACTATTCAAAGCTTGTCCTAAAGACTGATTATGGGCAAACCTCAGTCCAAAGGGGCAGACCAGCTCGACAGTCTCTCGACTAGTTATGGTGCTGGCTGAAATTTTACTGTTTTATTATTTATTGTGTATATGACTGTGTGTGGGTGCACATGTGCTATGGTGTGCGTGTGGCAGTCAGAACAACTTGAGGGAGTCGATTCTGTCCTTCCACCATATGGGTCCTGGTGATGGAGCTCCGGTCACTGGGCTTGGAGGCTTTTTTATCCATTGAGTCATCTGGCCTTCCCTCAGTGCAGAGGTAGGGGAGGGCCTCTGAGTGCAGCTCCATGGTAGGGTGGAAGTGTATTTTAAGCAAGAGAAACAGAAGGTACAAAGGCTCCGTACTGGCTACTTTTCACATTGCAAAATACTTGACAGAAGAAACACGGGAGAGAAAGGGTTTATTTTTGACTCATAGCCTGAGTGAACGAAGTCCATCGTGGCAGAGGGCCTGGCAGCAGGAGTGTGAGGCCACTGCTCCATTGTGTCTGCAGTCAAGAAGCAGAGAGGGATGAATGCTGGTTCTCGGTGCATTTTCTTTTTATTCAGCCTGGGGGCCCAGCCCATGGAATGGTGCTGTCTACATTCAGTATGGGTCTTCCACCTCAGTCAAACCTCTCTGCTCAGAAGCTTCTCCCAGGTGATTCCCAATCCAGTCAAGTCGACAAAGGGGACAGTCATGTGGACAAAGTCTGCTTGGATTTTAACACTATCTTCCCATGCTTCCCATGAATAGGTGGAGCCCACATCCTTCCCTCTGAATCCGAGTTCTACATGGCTTGACCATAGGGCAGTGGCAGTGACATTAGAGCAAATCTGAGGCTCCTGCTTTGAACTTCAGCTTCAGGGGCTGGGGGAGGTGGCTCAGTGGGTAAAGTGTTTGCCACACAAGCATGAGGACCTGAATTTGGATCACCAGCACCCACATAAGAGCCAGGCTAGTGGTGTGCCTCTATAACCCCAGGTCTGGTTGGTGGAGACATGAGGATCCCTAGGGCTTACTGGTCAGTCTTCCTGAAATAACAAGTTCCAGGTACAGTGAGAGACTGTCTCAAAAAGTAAGGTGGAGCCAGGTGGGGTGGCACACGCTTTTAATCCCAGCTTAGGGGCAGGCAGAAGCAAGTGGATCTCTGTGAGATTCAGGCCAGCTGGGGTTCTGGGGAGACCCTGTCTCAAGAAACAAAAACCAAAAAATATGGAAGGCTAGAGAGACAGTTCAGTGGTTAAGCACTCACAGCATAAACATAAGGACCTGAGTTCAGATCCCCAGAACTCAAATGCCTGGTGGTAATTCCAGCCTCAGAAGGTGGAGACAAGCTTCTCTGAGCCATGGCTAGTAAGACTAGCCATATTGACAATCTCTGGGGTCCCAACATCAGCCTCAGGTCTCCACATGCACACACACGGGTGTACCCACACACATCTAAACATGCATACGCACACAGGAAAATGGGAAATAAGGTGCAGAAGTGACTGAGGAAGATACTCCCGTAACAACCTCTGGATGCCACACATGCTCACACAGACACTGGTAGTTTTAACTTTTCCAGGGCCTTGTGCCTTCTGACAGCCTTCACACTGTGGGAATGCCCACACCTCCCATAGGAAGAGCTGAGGCATCCCAGCTCCAGCCCCACTAGGCTCCTGACTTCAGCTGTCATGGGAGTGTGCCATCTCAGTTGTCCTGGCTGACACCTCGTGGAAAGTCCAAAGTGGCCCCTGTGGCAGGTGCCTAAGCAAAGGAAGGACTTGCTGCTGCTCTGTGTTGGGATGGTGTAACAGGATTTGAAGTCAGGGTCACAGGATGGGGTTGCAAGGAGGCAGTCTGTACCATCAAGCGCATCACAAAGGAAGGACCCTGTGGGCTTATTGCCATGGATATAAGGAATCATCAGAGGACAGAGAAGAGACTCTGGGGACATGGAAGGCATAGGTAGCCAGCCAGGGTAACCCTGCTATAGCCTAGGTGCGGGCCTACTGGTGGCCGGATGGAGGTCAAGGATGTGTCCATAGTTCTGGGTCTGTTTGGCTAGGTGGTGATGTGACTTTTTGAGGTAAAGGCCCCAGAGACCAGGAGGGTGGCAAGAAGGGGTGCATCTAAACAGCACTGGTGACAGGGTAGAGACCTGGGAAGAAAGCAGACAGCACACAAGGAAACTGAGTCTGTCCATTGTAGGGCTCTGGCCTCTTCTGCTCCTGAGGCTGTTCTGTGGCCCTTCTCCCCTCCCCACATGAGGCTGTCTGGTTCTGCCGTAAGCTTCCCTGGGGTGTCTGTAATGTGCCTGTCAGCAGGTCCCAAGGGGCACCCGGCAGATGGCAGGCTGGCGCTTCCCATGCAGGCGCTCAGCTCCTGACTCTGCTCCTGCATGAAGTGGCCTGAGGCTGGAGGAATGGCACAGAGCCTCTTGCCTCCAGGAGTTACAGACCCATGGGCCCTGCCCTGGTGGGAAGGTGGTAAAGGAATGTGCAGCATCCGTGTGACCTAGGAATATCTTCATCTGCAATGGTTTCCCTGCTTGGTCAGTTTAGCTTGAAGATGCTCCATCCAGGGTCCCTGCCCGGGCATTCACGGCTGCATGGTGCATCTTTAAGAGCCCAGGTAAGGACTGTGGACAGTTCATGGACACTGGTCACTGTGCAAAGCAAGTGACCCTGAAACCAGATCTGTGCACAGACACTCCCCACTCCTGAATGTCAGTGAGGAGCTGCATGTTAATGAGACTTGAAGCCAGACTGTGGAATATTTAATGACTTCAAAAGATGTTCTGACATATTGTCACAGGAGAGGGAAGTCAGGTTTCAGAATGGTTCACGGACTGTGTGTCTTCATTCCTGGCCCCACCCATGCAAGCCTTGCTTGACAGTGACCCTCTTCTCCTGGGGCTTTTCTGCACTTCTTGTATTTCTCTGGTAAATGTGAATTCGTTCTGGAGTCACACCTCCCCCTCAAGAAACACCAAATCTCTCAAATATGCCAATAATTGGAAGTAGAAAATCTGCTCCTTAATAAGAATCAATGCTTAGAATCAGAGGTTTGAAAGATAAGATGATTTCTCCACCCGCAGCTGTCATGGGAGAAAGCTATTTTTGAAGTGAGATCTTGTTTACTTTTCTCGCTTTTCTGAGCTGGAGTGTGCTAGGATGGGTCTTGGATTTTATTTTGTGTTGGGATTTTTAATCCTAGCTCTCTTGGCCAGCACCGTGGGGACTTTCCTTCTTGATGGGGACATTTGTGTGAATGATTGTCACTCCGGTGGGCTGTGCCAGACTGCCCTGCTTCCTAAAGCCAGGGAGAGCCTTATCCTGCTCAGCACTGTGCTACTGGGGCCTGAGATGGGTCAGTGTGTGAACCTGTCACCCCAGGTCAAGTGAAATGTGTTCAGGGCTGCTCTGAAGCACCAGAGTCCAGGTCAGGGTTGGCCTCAGGGAAATTTGTAAGCTTCTATCTGAAATACGGGGTATATGACAGTTTCTAAGATGGGTGAGGAATTCAGGGCATGTGCATGGTCACCTTTGATCCCACTCACATTCGGATGGCCACTGTGTAGACTGGCCTGGAGAATGGGCAGAGAGAAAGGAGGGGTCCAGTTGCCTGGTGCCCATTTTGGTGTCTCTGGTTGTGTGGCCTCTGGAAATTGCTCAATCTTCTTGAGACTGTTTCTAGGTCTGAAAAATGGGGCAATGCTCTGCTTCTCTTAGGTTTGAATAAAGACAAGGAGGTAGGGGTTGGGGCGCAGCTCAGTGGAAGCCAGCACAAAGCCCTAGGTTCCATCCCCAGCAGGCAAATGTAAGATGTAGGACCTACTCAGGATAGCACATGATGGTGCTGACATCTTCTTGGAAGTCCTGTGAAGGCCAAAGGTCACCAGCTGGCCGCCAGGCACAGGCTGCAATCTGAGACTCCCAGCAGGCAGAGGGAGAGGCCTTCCCCGATCTTAGGCTGTGGTGCGAGACTATGCTCCCCACCTCCTGCCATAAAAGGGTGATGAGACAGCCCCATCTCCCTCTACTTGGCCATCTCAGGACAAAGGCTGAAACCCACAGAAGGTTTTCCCGGCAGGCTTTTATTATAAAGAATGTTCCAGAGAGTCCAGCTTTCCCCTCCAGCCCAGCCCCCTCAGGCTCGAAGCCAGTCCCAGCACTGCGAGGCCCTATGGTGTAAGGGGCTGCCAGGTCCATCAGTCACTGAGGGCAGCCTATGATGGTGACAGACGGGTGTTTTCTCCCGTTCCCTAGAACAGTCATTTCCAGTGTTGTACCGGGAGCCCCTGGGGACCTTCCTGGGTCCTCTGCACAAGCGGCAGCTATTCACAGTTGGCGCGTGATAATTTTTTTTTTAATATATAAAAGCTTTTCTTAAAAAAACAAAATGGTGCTATCTTTAGAAAGACTTCCAGAAAGATTGAGTAGCCCAGCTACAGCCTCTCCCTTCCCAGGGGACCAGGAACCCCCCAACCCGTCCCCTTCCCTTCACCCTTCCCTGTGGGCAGTGGGCACTGCCCATGCTGCCGATGGCTGATGGAGCAAAAAAAAATCTGACCCTGCTTGGAACTGTTGGTGGCCAGGGCTCCCTCCAAGTGAGGGACATGGACAACTGCTTGGTGGTTGAAGCAGAAACCAATCACTGGCTCCCCTCCGCCAGGTGGATGAGGTAGTGTTTCTGTGCTGCGGCCTCTTCTCCTGATGTATGCTGGGGGGCCTGATGCAGGGCCGAGCAGGTGAGCACAGTCCAGGCTGTGCTAGTTGGCAGGGGCAGCCTTACCAGGGACTGACTGGGGGATGAGGCTGAGGGCTCCACAGCCTGGCTCTAAGAAACCAGCATCTTCCCGCCCACCCAGCCATCTGGGTTCTGTCAGTTCCCAGCCCAAGTAAGAGGCACATGGAAGAGAACAGGGTGGAGGCCCAGGTGACTTGTGTGTTGTGTTGGCTCCACAGCAGCAGCTCTTGTTGCTCTTCCTGTGCCTCAGGCCTCACTGTAGCACTCGTAAATATTGTTCTCCATCAGAGCCACCACCTGCTCAAATTTGTGCTGCAGTTGAGTCCTACGGGCTGTGGGGTTGGCCTCTAGGGCAGCCATGATCTGTGGGGAGGCAGTGGGTCAGCTATACTACACCTTAGATCTTGGGGGACGCTCACCAGTGACATCCCCAAAGTGCCAATACCCTGGAGCAAGTCCTAGAGTTATAAGTTCTGCTGGCTGGGCTGAAATGGGCATGCCCTTGGTAGGAAACTCACCTGTGGGCGATACCTCTTGGCGTATTTATAGATCTCAGTCATGGCCACATTGGTGTTGAACTCATTCTGGTATTTCTGCAAAGATGGAGGAGTAGGCAGGGAGTGGTTAACCCTACAGATTAGGACCCAGCCCACCCACTTCCTACAACTTGTTGCTGGACAGCTAAGTACCGGCCCCCCAAGTCCTGGAGATGCACTGGCTTCTTAGGGCCAGAACTTCAAACTCCACACCCTCTGTGGTGTACACTTTGTCTATAGGAAAAACATGTTGATGAAGGTCTAAGCAAAGGAGTGGAACCGAGGCTGTCCTGTGCCTCCCACCTCATCCTGATGAACACTGGCTTTGGCCACTCCTCAGGCTAATGACAGTTACTGCCTCCTCGCCCTGGCAAGGCCCTGTAGGCCACCAACCCGAGACTCCTCAGCCAGATGTGCGTTCATCTCCTGCTCGCTGAGTGGCGTCATGTCCTGGATCTGCTTATAGTAGCGCTGCACTATCTTCCGGTATTCGGGGATCTCCTTTGCATACAGGAGCTTGTTGGTGGGTGAATCCTGGGCAGGAAAACCCAGTTAGTTAGGTGGCTGAAAGACAGGACTCGGGAGGCCTTTTTTGACAGTCCACATTCCCACTGCTACCTACAGGGTCTCAGTGGGCCCTCAGCCATGAGGCTTCAGACGAGGCCTTCTCCTGCCCTCTCTCCTCCCCTTTGCATGGAGCCTCTGCCTAGCTATTATGCTAGGGCTGTCAGGATGGTGACCCACAGGGTCTTTTAATGGGAAGAGCTCTTGGGCTGTGTGCCAGCATGCAGCCTGTTTTGTTTACACCCTTATTAGGATGATAGGACTTGGTGGTTGAGATGGTTCCTGGCTGGGGGAGTGTTTCCCACTGCGTGCATCCTGACAGTGCCATGTGCTAAGTACGCTGGTGGCTCTTTGTTGTCACGGGATGCATGTGTGAAACGATGACATTTCCTTTCCCTTGTGGGCTGAGACTCCTAGGCTAGAGATGGCCCTACACCCACTTGGAGGTGGCAGTCTAACTCTGCAACCCCTGGGTATTGATGGCCCCAGAGCTCCTTGCTACTGCCCTCTGACCCGGCTGGTCCTCTGCCCTTGTTCAGCTGCCTGTGAAGCTCCTTGGGCCTGTAGTGAGGTCCTTCCACCAGCTCCTCTCTGCACACTTTGAAAGGCTCTTACACAGCAGGAAAGCCCCGCCGATGCTCAGGCAAGTTGGGGTGGGGCAGGCTGCTTGCCTACGTCCCCTCCAGTCTCCCTGGACCACATTCATCCGAGACAGAGGCCCAAGATTGAGGGTGCTTCTGTTTCCCACACCCTGAACCTCCCAGAAAACTCAAAGTATCCCGCCTTGCCCTCAGTGCCCCCCTGCCAAGACCCTGGAGCAACTGACCTTGCCCAACTGCAGGTCTGAGATGGAGCAGGCGTCAATGAAGGCCTGAGCGATGACTGACAGGCAGGCATCAATGTGGTCTGTCTTTTCGATGTCGAAGACAAACTGGGGGTTTTTCAATATGTTCACCCAGAAGCGGAGGGGAAGACTGTGGGGTAGGGACAATGGGGACACACAAGCTCAGTGGGGCTGGGGAGGTGTACAGTACACTGACTCTCACCACTCCAGTAGCCTCTGGGCATCCTGGCTTATCCCGCCAGCTGTAGGCCCTGCTGGCCCACCCTCACCCCACCTAAGAGCCTCCCTCTCCTTGTTCCTCATTAGCAGCTCCCACTCTGCTGCTGCAGCACATGCTCCTCCTCCCAGCCTTGCACACGGCCTCAGCTGCAGAGGGTAGGTGGGCCTGGGGCATGACTTTGTCCTCAGGAGACCAGACAGGGTTGGGGACAATCCCCTGCTCAGCCCTGCAGAGCCTGGGGTGCCTGCTTCCCAGAATTTGCAGAGAAATGCTGCAACTAAACAGAAATAGCTCACATAGTCCTTTCTCTGAGGGTCAGAATGAGAGTTTCAGGATCTTCTTGATGGTGTGTAACCCTGAAAAGCTAAGATGAACCTCAAAGGAATTTACAAATAGAGTGGGGTTCAGAGCTGCAGGGTGGTCCTGCAAGGCTCTGTGATCTTGGGCCTGGATTGCTGCTATGGGAACCCTGGTGTTCCCCTATGTACAATGGGTATAGGGAGAGGGAGGCAAGGACAAGCTTATACAGTGTTCTCTGATCTTATAGATGGGGGACTATAGCATAGAGAGGTTAAGTCTCTCACCAGAGACCACACAGCAGGGAAATAGCAGGGTAGGAATTGAGTCCAGGCAGGTGGCTTCCAAGGCTAGGCTTTGCTTTTTGGAGGCCTGGCTGCCCAAATACTACCACACCACCTGTGCCCTGCCCCACAATGCCACCTGTTGGTCTTCCAGATGTGTAGGGTGTCGGAGTCCGAGATGCCTCTCTTTTCTGCCTGCTCCTCTAGGAAGTCGAAGAAGTACTTGACAGCCAGTGGGGGCTTATCCTCACGGATGCTCAGGATGGCCTTAAACAGGTCATCTAGAAACTTCTGCAGTGTGCCCTATAGGGGAGCAGTAGGACATCAGCCAGTCCCTCTGCCTCTTTGGGCCTCAGGATTTTTTTTTTTTTTTTTTTTTTTTTTGAATAGGGCTTCCTGTTGCCCCCCCCGGCCCAAGACCTTACTTTTTTAGCCCGCCCGGCCCTTGTTCT